AAAAGCTCCAGTCTCTGATTGTCTTCTGAGACATGTCCCCATCTTTAACAACTACTATATAATGTTTGCAGTCTCTGACCATCTCCCTTAGCAGTAGCATACTTGTAGTCTCTGTCCATCTCCTGTAGCACACCTGTAATCTCTGACTATCTTCTGTAGCATACCTGTAGTCTCTGACCATCTCCTGTAGCACACCTGTAGTCTCTGACCATCTCCTGTTGCTGCTCTGCAGTGTCAGACAGCTTTCTGTAGCATAACATTCAAAGAATATTATCTGTGGCCCCATTATGATGTCAGGAGCCTCACTTTCAAGTAAGTTTACCACCACTGCTGTAATGGTACATACTGTAGATAGCAACAAAAGGTTTGCGACAGTTGCATAGTTAATTCCGAGATGTAAAACAAATTCACAAAGTTCTTGTTTGCCACACTTTTCTAATATGTCCCAATGGCTGCAACAAATTCATGAACAAATATCACTATTTCAGAGTTTAAAAAAAATGGAGGTTAAAAGGAGAACTATGAGGTGAGGGCTTTTCACTCACCTCATAGTTCTAGCCGACTTGTGACAATGAGACTGTCACAGGTCGGCTAAGTAGATCGGGAAGTGAGCGAACACATACCGGCGTTCGCTCACTTCTCGATCCTGTCACGGCTCTCTGCCGTGACAGGGGAGGGGCTGGATTCCCCCCTCCCCGCTCTGATCCTCCAGCGCTGACTAGCGGAACGGACAGGGGAGGGGGTGGGTAGAGCTGGCTCTGCCTTTAGATAGGCAGAGCCAGCTGTCACTCACGCAGCTGGGCGAATCCAGACATAATTGTCGGGATCCGCTTCAGCTGCGGCGTCTCAGTATACCGCGAGCAGTATCTCGCGGTATACTGTGGCGTCTCAGTATACCGCGAGCTGTGACTCTGTACAACCAATGGTATCATTATCATAGCTACCAAGGTTGCTGTCCAGCTGACAGTGTCTTAGCAACCAATGACATTGTGCAGCCTGAGGGCTGAACATGCACAGAGGACAGTGTTCGCAGTATGGACACTGTGGCCCTTAGTGATGCCCCTCACCATGCAGCAATTTCTTCTACCTGTTTCTGTCACAGGCACCCATATTTATTGTGCAGAGGCATGACACATGTCTAAAGATTGTCTGCAACACCCTTTATGAGTTTCAGAGTATGTGCTCTTATAAAGGTCTAGTGAACATTTAGGCTCCATTCACACATGAACGGTTTTCCGTGCATATGCACGCATACGAATACATGTGGAAACGTGCTAAACATAAAAAACAATGCATCGCAATGTGCATTGTTCAGACTATTGGGGCATCAGCACGGTACGGAGAAATAGTCCAAGCGCGATTTTATGGGCGGATTCCAAACGTTCTGGCTATAGTAATGTCTGCAAATGCGTGGAATACACACGTGTGTTAAAGTTTGCACGGTTTTGCTCCGCATGGATTGCTGAGTGCAAAACGCTGTCGCTATGTGTGAATGGAGCCTTAAAGTGACATTTAAAGTCACCCCTCCCCAATGCTCCTTTAAGGACTTACCTTAAATAATGCCTCTAGATCTGATCATCTTCTTTCCTGTAGTTTTCAGGAGTTCCTCCAGCGCTGGTGTCGGTCTCTGATCCAGCGCTGACTGCGGTGTCTCCTGTGTCCCACGGAGTCTGTGCGGGTGCACGCTGCCAGGCTGCGTGCATTGACTTACACTGTCTTTCCTCTTCTCCCAGCCGAAGATCTCTACTACGCATGCGCCTGCCCCATGATCCTTCACGGCAGACCAGGTGGGAACCATGCCCATAGGAAATTAAGGGATTTCACTTCCTGAGCGTTTTTCAGCACTTCGATCAGCGCTGAAAAACGCCCAGGTGTGAACCGAGTGTAAGACTCCATTCACACATAGAGGTAGCACTAGGGTTGCCACCTGTCCAGGATTCACCCGGACAGTCCGGGTTTTGAATGCTGTGTCCGGGTCTCATGGCAGCTGAGACCCGGACACAAGAGGTCAGGCAGACAGGGGCAACCAAAATTAAGATAGGGGGCTACTGTCCCCCCACTGAAAATAGTCCTGACTGCGGTATTTACATATGAATCGGTGGCGCTATTTGTATATGAATATGCCGCAGCTCATTCTTCCCCCAAAATTTCCGCGCGACGCTAAAGTGTTCGGGTGTTGCTGAAAGAAAAGGTGGCAACCCTAGGAAGCACAAGGAAGTCCATTGGCATAGTGGCTGTTTTAGGACATGGAAGACACTGTAATCACTGCAGTGGAGTGTATTACAGGATCCCCATGGCCTGCCAGGTCTCTCTCCCTATATAT